GTTTAGGCCCTAAACGCTAAACTTTAGGGGTCTAACCTTAGATTAATGGAGAATGGGATGGAAAAGACAATGGAATAAGGCTTAGGCTTTAGTGTTTAGATGATAATGGCTTATATCGGGGATGCGTAGGGATCAGGGTTTATGGTTTTAGGGCTTTACGGTTTCAGGTTTTTAGGGCTTTCGGGTTTCAGGGTTTGAGGACTTTAGGGCTTTAGGGGTTTAGGGTTTCCGGTTTCGGCCCATACTCCGTATATCTAAGCCACTTCGTAAGACGCCTATGTCTCACGCGCGTTGATGCCTCTTCGTGCCCTCAGAAAATTGCTCTCAAAGCGCCAGTGGGCCTGTCATCTAAGTGTCCTAAACCCAAAAGTATTAAACTCAGCTCTCCTAATGCCTAAAGCCACAGGCTCAAGATTGAAGACCCAAGTCTGCAAAGAATGCCTACTTTAGACCCTAGACCTTCTAAACAAAACATTGCCTACTTGGGCTATGTTGACCCTGAACCTTAAATCCTAAACCTTAAATCCCAAGCCCTAAATCCAAAATCCTAAAACCTTTAAAGCCCCAAAAGCCCCTAAGACCTTTAAAGCCCCAAAGCCCCTAAGACCTTTAAAGCCCCAAAGCCCCGAAGCCCTCTCAGAAAAGCCCAGGAAGGTTACACCGTCGGACTTCCTGAAGGAGGGCGACACCGTGGATGTGCACGGATGCTTGGGCTTGGGGTTTTAATTAGGGTATTAGGGCTGAGGGTCGAATGTTTAGGGCCTAGGGGATCATGGTTTTGAATCTTCCTCCAATAATGGAGAAACAAATGGAAAATATGATGGAGCATGACATGCACATCGGGGTCTATAGGGCTTGAGGCATATAGGGGGCTAGATGAAATTATTGGGCGGCCCAATAATGCTTAGGGTTTAGGATTTGGGATTAAGATTAGGGTCAGGGTCTGGGGTTCAGGGTGTATTCTCAATCAAACTTTAAACCCTGAACCCTAAAGCCCTAAACACAAACCATAAACCTCTACACCCTAAACCCCTAAACCCTTAAACCCTAAAGCCGTAAACCACTAAACCCCTTAAACCCTTAAACCCCAAACCCCTAAGCCCCTAAGGTTGGCCAGCAGTTTCTTAAGCTTGTGGTTTCCCCATTGGGTGCTAGGATAGCAGCACAAACAGGGTTGAGGGTTTAGGGTTTAGAGTTGAGGGTTCAGGGTTTAGGGTTAGCTATTCGAAAGCTTCCCAAAACTCCATAAAGCAGGCGTAGAGGAAGTGTATTCAAACCCTAAACGCAAACCCTAAAGCTCTGCAACCTAAACCCCTAAACCCCTAAACCCTAAATCCCTATACCCCTAAACCGCTAAACACCTAAACCTCTAAACACCTAAACCCCTAAACACCTAAACCCCTAAACCCCTGACAAAGTGGCTCAGCAGTGATCAGCGCTTGGGGTCGGATATCGGCTTTGGGAGCTTCCGGCTTGCTCCCTAAACCCTAAACCCTATACAATCAATCCCTATCTATAATTTCCATTTTATTTTCCATTATCCCAATATAACCCCATTATAACCCCAATATCAGGTCAGCGAAAAACTGCGCACCAGGAGTCGTTGTCTTGGGGGCAAAGGAGTCGTTCCCCATGTTAGGGCTCACACGGCCTTTGGCGAAACATGTTGCATGTCAAAACGTTGGCTCGAATCCCAACCGGTTCTGTAAAAACAGGCCGCAGTGCAGGCAGACATGGCATTCGTTATTGCAACAACCCAAAACCCAACAAAAACCCTAACCCCAAATCCTAAGCCCTAAACCCCAAACCCTATTGTGTCCCCTCTTTGTCTATCGTTCTCTCGCTGCTGAAGTTTCAGTCGAAGCTCTGTTTAGCTGAGGATGGGCCAAGGGCAAGGGCTTCGCAGGAAGGATTCTGGGTGGCTGTTAAGGAACTTACATGAAGTTCCAAGCACATGGGTATATAGGGTTCAGGGTTTAGGCGACCGGAATATGGGTATATAGGGCTTAGGCTGTAGTTTACCCTAGTATTAACATGGGTATATCATCACTAATAGTAGGGTTTCCTTATCCTAGTCATGTATTTGAGGTCCTTAACAACAACCCAGGATTAAGAGATGGGGCGGCAAGCGTGGTCCCATGACGCATGGTTCGAAGCACCACAGGAGCTGCGTGAGAATCGACAATCCCCCAAATGAACGTGGAATCCTTGTGAACATTATGCAGGGGCCGTATGGGAATGTGCATCTATACACACATAGGATTATGTGTTCAGGTGTTCTACTCCACCCAAGTAACTACGTGAAGCCATCAAACACGCGCTTGTCAAGACCCAAGTCCTTTTGAACGCAGCTATATGTGTCTTGTGTTAGTTTGGGTGAGGGTGGTACCCAAAACCCTAAAGTGTGTGTTGGGGGTTGTTTGGGGCTTCCAAGGTTTTGAGGGTCATGGAATCTGATTGACAAGGGACAGGCGAGGTGGTTCTTAGCAGCCCAAATTGGAGCCTGGGCAGATGTTGGTGATGTGCTCAAAAAAGGAAGGTACGTAGGGATGTTATACGGATAAACGGACATTGCGGAGGTAAGGGAGACTTGCAAAAGTACATTGGGGTCGGCTTATTCGGAAACTACCATATCACCTCAACATGTACTCTAGAATCATAACCTCGAATTCTATTTTGACTGGGATAAGTGGGGCTGTCGTATGGCTAAATTCATGGATTCCCCTACTGCCCCTCCCCCCAAGTTCCCCCATAATCAACCTGACTTAGGCCTAACTACTCCTGAATAACTTTAACCAAGGGAGCAACCTGGGGGGGTGGGGAACCCATGAGAGGGGTTACAGGTCTACTCACCCTTACCCCCTAAACCCTAAACCCTACACCCTAAACTCTAAACCCTAAACCCTAAACTCTGAACCCTACACCCTAAACTCTAAACTCTAAACCCTACACCCGAAACTCTAAACCCTAAACCCTACATATCCCCACAACCTCTTTAAAGGCACCTACAGAATCTCGACATGTGTTTCATACCCTGAACCCTACTTCTAGTGCGAATTGCTGATAAGCTACTTAGCTTAGGGTTTAGGGTCTAGGGCCCAAATTATGAGTCCTGCAAGTCCCTCTAAGCATGGCTTGTGATTACAACTCCAAGACGCTGACAGGTACCATGCCCATCCAAGTAACTGTTTAGGCCTTTGAAACCCAAAACCCCAACATAGCAGTTCCCATTTTCTTTTCCATTATCATTACATTAATCCTAGTATAATACAGTAGTTTCCATTTTCTTCTCCATTATTCAATGAAACCCAAAACCCTAAACCCTCATTCGTATTGATGTCAAAGCGCCGGGACACAAGTCCAAGCTTCTGGTGAGCAGCAGACAGGATCTTGCAAATGATCAAAGCGCCGCTGAGAGCCCCATACATTTAACTCAAAGAGAGAGGTTTTTAGAAACTCGTCCCCTTGCATACCCCACACAGGCATTGGAGTGTTTGCAGACTGTCGCAATTGGGGCCTTCTCGAATTACCCCTTGTAGAAAACTCCGCAACTCTTGCAAAATCCAACTTTACCTTCACGACTGACGGAGGAAATCGATCTCCTTCATCCACAGTCCTCATTGTAAGACACACCTACCCTAAACCCTAAACCCTAAACCCTTAAACCCCTAAACCCTTAAACCCCTAAACCCTTAAACCGTTAAACCCTTAAACCGTGTGGCCTCGCTGTCTGGCAGGAGAGAGGGTTCCATTGGGGCTGCTCGTCCCAAGCGAGTCCTCCCGAAAAAGAAGAGGGCCGGATGGCAGGGCTGGGCCCTGAGATGGGTTTGGGGTTTATAGAAGGGTTTAGGTGTAGGGTCCCCCTTAAGGGGTTATATAGGTAGAGTATTAGGGTTATACAGGGGTTATGTTGGGATAATGGAAAAGAAAATGGAAACTACTATTTATATAGGGTTTGGGTTTGGGGTTTATAATCCCCCTTAAGTAGATCGGATATTGGGTATATGGGAATCTTATTATGATATACCCACAGCCATATTCCAGCGACTTAAGGGGGACTATAGGTTGAGGATTTCAGGGTTCCGTGGGTACACTCCCCCAAACTAACATGGAAACCCATATAGCCCCCTTTTTAAAGGGACTCTAGTCTTTATAGGGCCCTTTTTGGGTTTCCATAGGGCCCCCCCAACCCACCCTAAACCCTAAACCCTAAACCCTAAACCCTAAACCCTAAAAAGTATGAGCTCCCCGGGTTGAATGGGGCCCAAACTGGGTGTGGAAAGTGTGAGAGTGCCTAAAACGACCCAAGTCTTGCATCTTGCAAGTTTTAGGGTTTAGGGTTTAGGGTTTAGGGTTTAGGGTTTAGGGTTGGGTACCTACTATAATGGAGAATCAAATGGAAAAGAAAATGGAGAATGAAATGGAAACTGGGTTTCTATAGGGGATTAAATAGGGTTTAGGGTTTCCCATACCTTTTTGGGGGTCCCCATACTAAGGATTCTAGTATTTGGGGGTCTATATTGGGGTTCCCCTATTTGAGGAAACTGCCAAGTCCATTCTCATCTTCTTGTTCTTTGACTCTCTCCCCAGGTGTCTGCAAAAGCATCGCTCACAACCTCAAGGTGCTGAAGATCATGGACGGCATCGATGAGGACCCATAAAGGGCCATGCCGCACTTCAAACCCTATTTAAACTCTAAACCTAAACGTAAAACCCAAGACTGAATTACTGCTAGTCCTTGATGCTCCTCAAGGCTTCCCTTAAAGGGGTTTGTAGGAGCTATATGGATGCTACTGAAGGCTTCCCCTAAAGGGGTTTGTAGGGGCTATATAGGTTGGGTACTGCCCCCACTGTGTAACAGCAGGATAGTATTTGTAGTATAGTAGTATATAGCCCTTAACATGGCCCCAGGTATAGACTGTTACAGGGTGGGGGCAGTACCCAATATCTAGGGTGTATAGGCTTTAGGCTGGCAACAAGGGAGAATCCAGCAGGACAACATGCCCGAGTCGATCATCGTAGTGAAAGGCTCCGTGCCTGGCTATACAGCGCATCTCACTGGTGTTTAGGGGATAGTCTCGGCGGACTACGAAGCATCTAAACCCTAAATCCTAAACCCTAAATCCTAAGCCCTGAACCCTAAGCTTGTTTTTTGAAAGGAACCATAATCCCTAACTGTCCCTCAAGCAGCCCTAAGGCATTGGGAGAGTGGCGGATCTTACGTCTGGCTCCACAAGTCGAAGAACCGACACGATGGCCGCTTCAAGCGGGACCCAGTCTGGCTGTGGCTGGGTCCTTGTTAGTTGAGCGTTTAGGGTTTAGGGTTTAGGGTTCAGGGTTCAGGGTTTAGGGTTTAGGGTTCAGGGTTTAGGGTTCAGGGTTTAGGGTTTAGGGTTCAGACATTAGGCGTTAGGGGTTTAGGAAAGCCTGGCAGTTTCCGGCTCTACGGGGGGTTTAGAGGTTATGTAGGGATATCCGGATTTTGGGGTTTAGGTTTTGGGTAGGGTCTAGGGCTTTCAGAGTTAGGGACACCCTATTGCTGGGAGTCCCTATACTGTTGGTTCTCGGCAATATGTAGGGGCCCACTGTTCGGGTGAACCCCCACATGTGTTTTTCACGGAGGTCCTGTGAGAAGCTTGGCCCGGATGTTTGGGATTATAGCTATGAAGCATTTGACCTGGGTTTTTCAGCAGTATACTAACTGGTTGGTGGTTAGCAGTTCATGGAGGAATCGAATTCGATAGCAGCCTTCAGTGCTAACCGCTAGTAAGTACAACGATGATCCAGGTGGTATTACCACAAGGGCGAGGATGTCGATCCCTTGGTGCCCATCCAGGAGGGGGCCTCAATTTTTAGGCTTTGCTTTGCTGCCGTTACTGCATTCTTTTTCATGAGCTGTGCCACCTGTGCTGTTTAGGTGCTAAGGCTTAGCTTGACGGATGATCTAAAGCCCAAACCCCAAACCCTGAACCCTAAACTAGGACAAAGCGTGGACGTGGAAGACGATGTTCGGCCGCGACGTCCGTTGGATCACCCATGAGGTCAAGAAGTATTGGCCAGATGGTTTCCCTGGGTGCCTGGGCTTAGGGTTTAGGATTTAAGGTTCTGGGATGAACAACTCCAAAGACGCAGTTTAGGGTTTAGGATCCAGGGTCTAGGATTTAGGTTTTAGGATTTAGGGTTCTGGGTTTAGATGAACTACTCCAAAGGCGCTGTTTAGAGTTCAGAGTTTAAGGCCCAGGAAGAGCTTAAACCAAACCCTGGAAATGTAAGTCCTAAATCCTAAGCCGACGGGGACACAGCGGCAGTCCTATCAGGTATGACCACATCATGGACCCCTTCTACGATGACTGCGACCCCCACATCGCGCTGAAAGCGCCGGAGTGGTAGAGCCGAGGGTAGTTGCTGCGACATGAAGCATGGCCAGGAGTCAAAAGCTGCTTTGTGAAGTCTCGAAGGTCTAGGGCTCTAGGGGTTTGGGGTTTTAGGGTTTAGGGATTTTATGGT